CACACACACACACACACATATATATATATATATTCTGATGGCTCTTTCGTCCTCTAAGGTTTTGCCCGATGGCGAAACAGAGCGTCCCTATTGATTTTCTCCTTCGTTAATCGATTCTTCGTGCTCGAAGAAGAAAAAGGGAGCGCCTTGTCGTCATCCGGAGCTCGCGTCGTCTCTGGAGCTCGCTTCTGCTCCGTTTATTACGAGGTCGTCGCGTCTGCTGTGTTTTGCCATCCGGAGCTCGCGTAGTTTTCTGAAGTTTATTTGTGCAGAAATCATTTTTTGGTAAAATTTTGCTTGGTAATTTATTTTTGTTAAATTAAGATTTATTTAAAAATATCAGTCAATTTGTAAATTATTAATATATTTAAGATCTTTATTTATGATGGCAAGCTCTCAAGTGAGCCTAGAAAAAGGATTTTCGTAGAATTGACCTAATGATTTGTAATAACTGTAAAAAAAAATAATAGAAATTATTAATCAAGAGGTTGGTTTGAATGTAACTGTCGAGACAGTTTTGTCAGTGGGAGGGGATAAACGAGATTCATTTGTTTGTATTAGAAACTAAGAGAGTGGGAGTGGGATAAGAAGATGATTATGAAGTTATTGTGCGAAGAAGGGGTTGTTTGTGTCTCTTACATGAGATACGATGGTAGTGACAGAAGCCGATGTTGAGGCCTTCATGCTTGAAGGTGAAGAGGAGCACTTCATGCTTGAAGGTGAAGTGGAGCAGCGCCATTCCTAGGAGGGAGTTGAGCGATGATGTGGAGGGGTAATCAACGCTGCTATTGTGGCCTTAGGATTTGGCTACAAGCATTTGTGCGGTAAGAGGATAAGAAGGGGGAATTCTCGTCAAAGTCCTTGAGTTGACGTCGACGTCTCATGTGTGGCTCGTCTCGTGCGTAGCAGGAACCCTAGCATGTGACTTTTCATACTAGCAAGGAAGCCAAGCGGAGCTTTTGAGGAGTTAAGGGTTTTGAGTTTTATGTATTATTTATAAATTATTTTGTTTATTTAATATAAGTGCTATAATTTTTTTATATTTTATGAATTGAATCAGGAATTAATGAAGCTTTTGATTCAAAAGATTAGAGATTTGAATTATGGATTGTGCAGAGGAGTAAATAGAAATGTAAGATTAACGTTTTTTTAGTAATCATTTATAGTAAATTTAATTATAAATTATTACAATTTACTTTTAGAATATTATGAAATATAAGCATTTATTAAATGGAAGAGTTGAGAGGATGGTTCCTTTGGTAGAAGAGAGAAGAGAACACTAAAGTATTTATTGATTTATATGAATTTGAAATTTAAGTGAAGTGGTGGGACATTAAATGTTATTGTTTAGGAGTAACATTTTTAATTTAAATTTTAAGTGAACTCAATAAGGTTAGAAATTGAAGCTGTCAAAGAGAAAGTTAAAAGAATTTGAAATGATAACTTCATAAAGTGAAATCAAGATGAGCAGTTATTACTTTATTTGCATTGAAGTAATTTTTGTATACTTTTAAAATAATTTATTTGTTACACATATTAAAAACACACTTATAACAAAATGAATATAAGTGAATATGATGCCTATTTTATGGTTTTAATTTTTTTATTTTTTGCACTATATTAAATGAAAAATTAAATAGAATAATTATATAAAGAAATAAAATATAAGTTAAATAAGAAATAAATGATTAAGTCTATCAGGAGTCACTCTCTATGATACTAGGAATGGATGTTATTATGCTAGTGTATGTTAAAGAAAAAATAAATTGAAATAATTATGCCTTCATGATATAAAATAAAAAAGAAATTAGAAATTGTTGTGCCTTTATGATAAAAATTGAAAAAGGTTTTCAGTGCCCTTGAAATGATTTTTAAATGTAAAAATAAATTGAAAGAAAAAATTAAATTAAAAGGAAAAATATAATTGATAAGATAACTAAATTTTATTTTATAGAAATGAAAGGAAAAGTTTAGTTTTTTTTACCAGTATATGCCTTTCAGCATTAATGTTAGGTAGTTATATAAATATTTGATGTCTAATAAAAAAAAATTGAATTGACTGGTTAAATCTTTTGTTAAAAGAGGAGGATATTAAATTAAAGAGATTGAGCTTAAGCTTCACGTAGACTTAAAAGTCCCGCTGATAACACTTTGCGATGATCTGAAAATTGCCTTTATTGTTTTTAAGAGAAGTGATAGATGTATCTTAGATGATAATTTTGGTGAATTCAATATGTGGTTCGTAGAAAAAAAAATGGATGTTTTTGCATCTTATCAATGGAGAGTGGATGACTACAATGCGAGGACATTTTAAGATGGATTGGGTTGAATGTGTGAAGCTTGTTTTCGAGTATTTTATATAGTGAACTCATAGGTTTCACTTCGTGCATAAGAAGACCTCACTTGTATGGAACTACAAGTGTGAAGAAGTTATGTTTGGAAATATTCAAGCAAGGGACATGCTACAGCATCCGTGGCAGGTGGTTGATGTCGTCCAAGGCAGTCGATCAGTTGAGGTCCATTCAGTGGGAGTTACTAAGCTTGTTGTAATTGATCAAATATTGAGAGAAATTGTGCACGACAAAAACATGATTACACTAATAGATTATGTCATGCATCGTGCAATTCCGGGGAAAGGATGATGATATAAAAGATCTCTTATAGCTATTTGAGTCAAAAAGGGTGAGCCAGGATTCAACTAGTGGGAAAGAAGTGATGATTAAGTGGAAATGATTGTCAGATTATGACGCCATAAGGGAGCCATACAACTTGATCTAGCAGTTGTTTTCTCTCTTTCACTTTGAACACAAGGTTTCTTTTTGTCAGGGGATAATGTTAAACTGGCGTCTTATGCCTTTTGCTCCATAGAGTCAACGCTGACCTTTACAAATAATTTAAAGACTTATGTTAAGCATAAGATTAATATGGTAATTTATTTATTTATTAGTTTTTATTGTGAGGTATAAATAGCACTTAATATATTTAGGGTGAAGATGTGTAATTGTTGTCTTAAGTCTTAGGAGTTATGGTTTGGGAGAGATTAATTATCTCTCGAATTGTAGGTGTTTATCTGTTATGTTTATCTGTTATGTATTCGGGATTATATCTTGTTATTTTTGTATCGGTGGAATAAAATCTATTATTTCAGCCCTAATTTTTGTGAATGCTTGTCTCGCTCGTATCAGCTTTCTTTGGTGGACCTACTTTACTAAGCCCATACTGTATCATCCTTTTTTGTTTTATAAATGCAGAATTGAGTTTTTTTTAAAATATTAATATTATTTCAGTTGATAATATCTTTAAATTTTTACATTTATTATTTCCGTTAAATTAACTAAGTTTAGTTTTATACTTCATTTTATTTGTCTTTTATTTTTATGTGGTTTCTTTATATGCTTAAATTAAGCTTGAAAGGCAACTGCTTAGTGAGCCATTACGATACATGTTTATTTTATATTGTAATCAAAGAACGTTTTATCATATATTTTGAGATGCATGATCATGTAATGCTATGGTATTTTGGATGACTAAAAGAAACTGCTTGCCTTTGGATTACATGAAACTGATTAATAGGTGACTGAGACTGCCTTCGAACATAATGAAGAACAAGTCTTGTGGGATGCATATCTAGGAGTGGCAAAAAAAATTCATGCTGGTACTGTTTTTCTTTCGGATTTATCCACTAATGTCTTGATCAAAAAAGATGATTTCTTTCCTGTTATGCATTATTTTATCTAAAAATCAGCATTTTGATGTCTTCACTGGTTTAATATAATATTTTTATTCAATTCCAAACCATTTTTTTTGTTTAAATAATTTTTATTTGTTGGTCTGTTTTAGGTGTTGACATAAATACGTTTCTTACAACCTCTTTACAATTGATACGGCCACTTGAGGATTTCTTTAAGAGCGTTTATGTTATGACGGTAATTTTTTCCATTAATCTTTCATGCCATAAGGCTATAATGTTTTTTTTTTTTTTCTCATCTTCTCTTTGCTAATTTATATTATTTCCTAGTATTGTTCGAGCTATTGAATGATCTAATCATGCTAATAGGTTTCATCCTTTGGTAGTCATGATCAGTTTTTATTAACGGAATTATTATTGATGTATGCTGTTGCCTCATGTGTCCTGCTTTTTCCTATTAGAGAAATATCTAAGTTTGAATGTTCTGAATTTCAGTTAAAGGTGCGAGCGATGAATTATAGTGATTCTTACGGTTTTGTACACAGCTTGAATGTCAAACCTTTATATTTGAAACAATTGTCACTACAAACTTCGTTTGTTAAATATGTTAATGTGTTCTTACATTTATGTGCTTTAGCATTTTATTCTTATTTCAAAACTGCACTTAGCTTACCATGGGTAATTCTATAGAATGTGGAAGGAATACAAATTTAGAACAATGTTTTTGTATCATTTTTATGAAGGGTTTAAATGAAAAATCTTGTTTCAGCGCTCTTCTATCTTAGCTTTAACTTTTGCCATTGTTAGCTGCATATAAAGATTGAAGTGTTCAAATTGACAAGTTTGAAGGGCAATACATATAAAGGACGCACCAGTGCAGAATTTTGTGCATTTGTTTTCCTAAATGAGATTATATGTTGCCTTTAAGTCTACCCTAATTTATTTTCTATAAATGCAATGCCGCATTGTTGAAATTTATTTATGAAAAACATTATTTAAAAGTTTCATTTGATGTATTTTCATAATTTGTTGTTGAAAGGAACATGCATGAAAACTATGGAAGATCCAATGTCTTACAAAGACATAAATTTACCCTCATGTTTATTTTCATTATTATTTTTATCGGTTGTTTGGTTCGATGAATTTAGAATGCATGAATTATGAGAATTTGAAGACTCTTCTGTTCGATGTGTATTAAATGCATTGAAATAATTTTCTTTGTTTACTTAAATGTAAAAAAAGAAAAAAGTGACTTAGAAAAATATGGTATGATTACCATCCATACATATTCATGGCACTGCAACCCACTTGTCCCCATTTGCACATGAACGAAAAATAAAAAAGATTGATGGATAAATGATCAAAATTATCATGCAAAAAATCTTATTTTATGTGGATTCTTCCCTTGTTGGGCCATACTAGGTACCAATGCTAACAAAGCATGGTCATTTGCTATCATATTAAAGTATTCTCAAAATCTCAAACCCATACAATGAACTTGCTAGTGAGCAGCAAATAAACCACCACTTTGCATGCAAGAATCATGGTCCAAAAAGTGTACAAGTGGACAAGACATTGCTGAGTATTTACGAATTAGAAATTATGTATATTTTTGACAAAATTGAGACTACTAATAAAAGCATGAAAATTTTGAACATCGACAATTTTAAATCTCAGATGCATTTCAGATTACAATGCAATTCAAAGTAACACACATTAAAAGCCATAAGTGTGCTTTGAAAAGCATCAAATGCTTTGTTGGATCCTAAATTATTCAGGGACTCACACCATCTCAACGAGAGCACTCACCGTAGAAAAAATTAGAAAATGATAGAGAAATCTGTGGTCTTAATATAAATTTGGGGTGATACTAATTATGCTACACGACACAGAAAAAATACAAAAACCAATACATAGAGATATATTATTAAGTAGCATGTCTTATAGATCTATAAGACACCAGGATACCGAGTAAGCGAGTGGGTTAATTATCGTGTCTAAGCTGATGAGATGATGAAAAGGTAAGCCATCAAGCCGCAATGGAAGGGCTGTAAAATGACTAACGTCGTAGAAAGGTTGATGAGTGGTCCAATTAAAGCACTTACTTTGCTAAATTGGTACTTAGATCTGATTTGGATTCTAGTATGAGCCTTCCTTTTGTATATTTAGATATATCTGACTAAAGTGCAGTATTGTGATTTTCTTATTCTGTGAAAAACAAAATAGAATTAAATGCACCAAATAATTAATTTAATTGATAATCATTTGTTGAGTAGTAAATGTTGATGTGACCCTTCCTTCTAAGGCGGTGGTGAAGACTCACATTTTTTCGTTTTGATTCCTATTTTTGAAATTGTTGTTGCTGCAATTGAAGATCCCCAATGATATGATCGAAATTGCAAATCGGATTCTAATTTCTGAACATCCGGCAAATGAAAGAGAGAAGAGGCTCATCTAAGAAGAAGAGAAAGGAGGTAAAATTCAAAAAAAAAGTTTTCAGATTGGGTGACTCCATTAGTAGCAGAGTGGATTGGCATCTTTCCCATTTTAAGTGCATTTCTTCATCGATAAGACGTTGAAGGGACATCAAGGCCCAAGTTATTGATTTTGATTGAATTTAATTTTGAAAGCTTCAATAAATCTCTCTTTTCTCTAATAAATGCGAGTCCATATAGATTCACTATTTTAAATGTTTGAATAAGGACCAGAATAACTTGAGAAAGTTATCTAGTTACTCATATAAGCTACATCTCAACATGTTATGTTAGGCACCCAATATGCTTGCCCTTCTAAATTTGATCAATATATGACAACTATTATCTTTAAATGTGCTTTAGCTTCGGCTGAACCATGTTTTTGTTAGAGTCAGAATCCTGCGACATTGTAGCTTCTTATTTGACATTTAGCATGCATGCTTCTTTCTCTTACAGACTTACCCTCCGGTTCCTCCACAACTTCAGCAAAACTATCCAAAAAACTTTGTTTTTAATGTGCAGGATGATCAAAGAGTCAGGAATAACAGGCTGGCGCTTCTTAAGAGAATTGCAGATCTGCCCAAAGGGATTGCTGATCTCTCAGTTTTGCCAGGTTTTTAGAAGTTCCTGCTTGCCGCGGGCTGTTAAATTATTTGTTCATTCTTTAATAATCTCGGAATAATGTGTTTTCCTCGGCTAGCAATTTCGCTATTTATACAATTCTATAATCTCTCATTTTGTCCCCTTGATGGCACTGCTTATATTCGTTGTCACTAATGCAAGTCCTTTTAAATTTATGTTGTTTTGTGGTTTGATCATGAATCTATATAGCGCTTGAACTAAAAGAAAAAGTGAGTTTCTTTAATTTTACTAAATTTTTATGCATTTGTTACATTAAAAAAATAGATTATATAATTAGATTGTGCTGTAAAGAATCATTTTGTGTTAAATACAGCGCAGGCAACCTGAAGTATTAGGCAAAGTTTAAAAGCTGAAGGCAAATCGTCATGCAAATGTTTGTCACTTTAACGGGGATTTCTATAATGCCTCCTTTTGTCTACCCAGAGGAGAGGGCTTGAAGAGTGTTAGAAACCCAAGAAATAAATGAAGAGTCGGGAGAATAAAATGGGGAGGAGAAAACGAGATTGAGAAGCCAAAAGTAAAGCGCTCGAGTGCGGTAGATGTGACATAGATTTACCAAGTGAGTTGAGCTCTAGTGCTAGAGTTGCCAAGAGCAATTAGGGTATCCTTCTAGCCGAAAGTTATAGCATCGGCATGTTATTTTTGTCTAGGAAGGAAGAGCAAGTGGGGGACGGAGGTGTTGTTGCACTGTTGTATTGATTCGCAATTGAAGGAGTCAAACGGGTAGAGCATTGTGGCTCGATAGAGGAATATAATGTGTGTGGATTAGGGAAAAATTTTGCGTGCAATAGATGTACCCAGCGCTGCGTGCAATATTGGGGTTATACCGAGGGTACAAGAGGGGTACATCCGCAGTATAACCCCTTGTAACCTCCCTGTAACTTGTTGTAACCTATATGTACCCCAAAATAAGTTTCACGCTTCTGTTATTTTATATTAAGAGGTTACACGTAAGTTGCAGGGAGGTTACAATGGCTTATACCTTGGATGTAACCCCCTTGTACTCTCGGTATACCCCAATATCGCACGCAGCGCTGCGTACGTCTATTGCACACATTTTTTTCGTGGATTAGGGCTCGGTGAGATAAACGTTAGAAAATTATATTAAAATGGTATAATAATAATAATAATAATAATAATAATATGTATGTATGTTTATTTAACAGAAATTAAGTGTGATTACATAAAGAAACTTTAGTATTTAAATAATAAAAAGTTAATACCTCAATAAAATAATAAATTAATTAAACTTTATACCATGTTAGGCTTTCAAATTTGGATGGTTCAATATTGAGTGAGATCAAATAGCAAATTAGTTTATAATTAAGGTGAGTATTCATGTTCTTATATTATGATAATATTTTGTGATTACATAAAGAAAATAATATGTATGTTTATTTAATAGAAATTAAGTGTGATTACATAAAGATAAATTAATATTTAAATAATAAAAGGTTAATAGCTCATTAAAATAATTAATTAAACTTTATACCATGTTAAGCTTTCAAATTTGGAGGGTTCAATATTGAGTGAGATCAAATAGCAAATTAGTTTATAATTAAGGTGAGTATTCATGTTCTTATATTATGAGAATATTTTGTGATTACATGTTAGGCTTTTAAATTTGGAGGGTTCAATGTTGAGTCAGATCAAATAGCAAATTAATTTATAATTAAGGTGAGTATTCATGTTCTTATACTATGATAATATTTTTTTTTCCTAGATCAAATGTATTTAATGGTGCTTTCTTTGGTTATATTGAAATTAATGCAAGCTCGTGATTTTTAATTTTGTTGAATTTTTGTTCAAATTGTATGAATGATAGGTGCACAACATTATTTAAATGATTTATAAGTGTGTTGTCTGATACACAATGGGGATGACATATATTTCAGTAAATAATGATTTTGATAGAATGATTATATGTGTATGACGGAGTCACTCTTTGATGGTACTGGTGGGAGAACATTAAGGTAATCGTGCACGTATATGAAAAATGATATTGATATTCAAATGATTTAATTGGTATAAACTTTTAGACGATACTCTTGTTACGGTTATACAGTTATAGAATAATACTGGTATGATATTCATATAGAAAGATTCATTGATGGTATTAAAAATTGTTAATATTTATTTATTAAAATTTTAATTAGCATGCATTTTACTTTCATTTTTCTTGTGTTGTTGTAGTTTAGAAATATGAATATTAACTGGTTTGTTTAACTCGTTGTTATATTAAACCTATTAAACTAACTTTTCAAGTTAATTAAGTGATTAAAAATGAGCGATAGAAGGGAAAACCTTTATAGAAGACGCAGACAGCTAGTAACGATGTGACTTTAATTGTGTCAATTTAATTTAATTTGATTAGTGATCTTTCCTTATGTTAAAGTGTAGAATAATATAGAAAAATTTCTGTACTTGCCTTTGTTAATTCCATGGGTTGGGTAATGACAAAAGTGCTATCAGAGTTTAGGCTTAAGGATTAATTAATGAAATCTAAATGAAAGAGCTAATATGATAATTATAAGAAAATTTTAAAAATTATAAAAAAATTGAAGTTGACATGAAGTATAATTATTACACATTCAAGCATAGTGATACATTTGAAATCATAGAAGAAGAGAATCCAATAGAAAGCGAAGAAGTACAACCTACTATAAATGTGAACGAGAATATCCTCACCTAAATGATGGCAGCAATGACTCAGTTGATTTAGGGAGTTCAGATCTCAGCTTATTGTAAGTGATATTGTTGTTCTAGATAAGTACTTGAAGATTTAAGATCTAAGTCCCCTTTGTTCAAGGAAGCTACATACTCAATTGAAGTGGAGAATTGGTTAATGAAGATAGGGAAGATACTAGATATCATGGTTTGTCTGGATGAAAGAAGTTGTTGATATTTGTGTTGGATGGAGAAACTGAAAATGGGTGGCGTAAGCAGCGTCAGGACAAGTTAAAGGCATAATGAATATGTTGTCAGTTGAGAGTTTGTAGAGCTTTTCAAAGAATGGTTTATACTCATATCCGCTCCACAACGGATGCATGACAAGTTCATCATGTTGAGGTAAGAAGAGAATCAATAAGAAGCATAAAGAGATGCATAAAAGGAAGACTGCAGAAGAACATTTAGATCACTCAGAAGAATTCAATAAGAAGAAGTCCAATAATAATTCAGGTGGAGTTAGCGAAAGTACGACTCAGGATATATTGGTCACTTGTGCCAATGTGGAATAAAACATAAAGGTGAATACTTGATGGGCTTTAACCCTTGTTATTAGTGTCGTAACCCAGTCATATAGCAAGATATTATTCATATCTTGGTTAGAAGACCATTGAAGATTAGAAATCGGGTGGATCTCTTTCATAGAAATCGGCAGGAGGGCAAAAAAAAGATAGGGCCAATAGCCACAACCCCTATTCAAGGTCAACCAATACAACCAGTTTGATATCGATTATATTCCCTTACTCATAGTGAGTCTGAAGAACCTATTTTTGCTGATGGTGGTGAGGTCTGATGAGTTTTGGCGTTTTCTTTAATGTAAGGGTAATTTTTCTAGCATATTTTCTTGTTTTAGTATTGTTCTCCAAAGTATAGCTGATTTACCCTATATCGAGACTTTACCTCTAGAGTGATTACTTTTCATTCTTGGATAGCTAATGTTGATCTACTTAACGAAAAATGACTTAAGGTTTCCTTATAAACTTTAATGATCAAGTTTTCGTAAATGGGGAAGATTGTAATGACTCTGTCTACCAAGAGAAGAGGAATTGAAGATTCTAAGCAATTGAAGAAGAATAAATGGGGAGTCAGGTAAATAAAACGTGATCGGGAAGCTAAAAGTCAGTGTTGCCCTATAATGAGAAGCGCTTGAGAGTGGAAAAGGTGACATAGATTTACCAAGTGAGTCGAGCAGTGAGTGCAAGAGATGCCAGGAGAAAATTAGGGTATCATTCTAGGCAGAAGTGACGTCATCGACAGATGACGACAACTCTATCAAGTAGGAAGGAGGAAGTGGGGTAAAGAGGCGTCAAGTGTTGCGTTGTTGTATCGATCTGCAACTAACGTAGTCGAAGGCGAGCTCTCTGACATAGCACATTGATGGGGAGGCGAGTATGGGGGAGATCCTTTACGCATAATAATCAATCGATTTCGAGCGACTGAGTTGAAGGAGAAGTGCATGTCGGTAGGGCTGTCAAAACGGCTCGTTGTTTAGGAACAGCTTGTGTTTGGATCATTCGATAAGTTAATGAGCAGAACACGAACAACACGAACAAAGATTTGTTCGTTCGTGTTCAGCTCGTTTTGGATCGAAACACCACTAATCAATTATATATATGTAGTTATATTTAATGAGTAGTATTTTTAAAAAATTTAATTGAATACAAGGCTACAAAGATTTATAATCAATTTGAACTATTCATTAAGAAACTAGAATAAAAAATAGTAAATTTGATTCAAATGAGGTTTTAATATAAACAATAATTTTTAAATATTCCTCCAGTCCTTAACATCTTATGAATGTGTGATTAGGGTTGTCAAAACTGCTTTTTGTTCGTTAACAGCTCGTGTTCGACTCACTAAGATAACGAGTCGAACACGAGCACACTTTTTGAGCTTGAAATATAAATGAACCGAGCACGTGTTGAGCCTGGGCTTGTTCGTATTCAGCTCATTTACACCCCTACATGTCGGCCGTCGGATTAGAATTGGTTGGTTGCTTTGAAAATGATTTAATTTATATAAGTATAATTTTGTTTTTTTGCAAATAGTATATTGATTTTGAAAAATAAAAAATTGAACTGATCTTATATATTTAATAGTTTAGACAATCAAGCACAACACTACAAGAAATATACCATTTCGAGAGATAGACATATCACTTGACAGCAGGCTCGATTATTTAAACTACATAATTTATGACATTCGTTTGGTCTGTGAATTTTTTTATATGAGACCAACAAGTTCCCCTATCTAATATAAGGATTAGATAGGATTTGTATTACATGGGGTTCTAAAGTTCTCTATAGAGGCAAACCTCTATAGTTAATTATATCTTAAATGACCAAAGTCGCTTAAGAAAACTCTGAATAATTATCAGAGGTATTTGTCTTCAAGGTTTCAATGCTTTGGTTACCAGGATTAGATAAGGTGAAAACTAAGTGGGAAATGGCCAAATAGGAGTAGATATTTTCATAAT